TGGATGAGCATATCAAGAAGGGAGAAGAGTAATTTTTATTGGAATTGCAGTGAGTCTTTAGATTGGGGGAAATTAACATATAATTATGTTATATAAATTCAATAATCCTAGTCTTCTGACCCATGAACAAGATGTGTCTTCGAGTTGACTGAGTTTTTAATTATTGTAGCAATATCTTATAGTATTTAATCTACAGATATAACTTTTGTAAATAGATTATCCACACAGATATTTCATATTTTGTGGTGATTTTTAAATGACAGTATTTTTAAAATACAAATACAGGTTATCTTATATTCCCCCAAATTTTCAGTGACCAAATATGTAATAGTAGCTTTTGAGGGGAAAAAGCTTAGTAGCACAGTTCTAGCTTGTAAAAAGTACTTCCTGATTAATATGCATTCTCCTGTACATCCACATCTGCTTTACAAAGTTATTGAAAATATACAGAAACTAGGGATCAAAATATCAATTTTTATCTGGTGACAATCTATGGAAAATCAGTTTGTTGAGATAACATAGTTCAGTAGGATTTAATTAATATATGTGGTTCAAAATGAATCTGTTGAAAAGTGTGGTTTTACTTCTTCACCTTCCAGCAAATTTATCATAATCCATTCCCAGGATCTTGGGTGTTGAAAGAAAAGGGAAGACATATGTATGTGGGAATGTGTGGTCATATTAATGTATGGATATTTATGTTATATGAATGTTTATCATGAGGAATACTTGAAATTAACTAAACCAGTCATGTCATTCTTACTTGGATTCTAGCATATATTAGAAATAAGATTAATGCCACTGTTGATTTTCCAGCTCTCCTTGGTCAATGTGGTTACCATGACAACTCAGTGCCTGCTGTGGAAATTTGTGCCAACTGTGTTTCCACATATGATTTTTGTTTGAATCACTTATCATTATAATGTCATCATGTGTTGTTTTTCTAATTATGATTTTCTTTCTAAAATTATTATTTGACATTTGAGATGTGGTACAGATTTTTCCTGCCCATTTATTCATTTATAGTATGTTTGAATCAACCTGACTTGAGTCACATTTTTCTCAGAGTTGTCCCCTTTTTTATTAATACATTTTCTAGTCAATAAATTTCCCTTTAAGGTTGCATCAATATTAAGTTGATACCTTCCTTCCCAGAATTCCTTTAGCATAAACTTTGCTGTCTAAAACTATCTCCTCATCTGTACTACCTTGTGGGAATCCCCTCTGTGTGCTGTGATCTCTACTGATGAATAAAGAAACTGCCTTGGCTTGTTGATAGGGCAGAACTTAGGGAGGCAGGGAAGACTGAACTGAATGCTGGGAGAAAGAAGGGTGGAGTCAAGAAGGTGCCATGGATCCGCCACCAGAGACAAATGTGCCGAAAATTCGCTGATAGGTCACAGCCTCGTGGTGATGCACAGATTAATGGAGTTGGGTTAAATTAATATGTAAGAGTTAGCCAATAAGAAGCTAGAACTAATGGGCCAAGCAGTTATTTAATTAATACTGTTTCTGTGTGGTTATTTCATGTGAAAGCTAGCGAGGTATCCAGAAAGAACAAGTGGCCTCTTTCTTCCATCTAAATGGCATACTGGGAGGAAGCCACCAACACTACCTACCTCAGAAGATAAATTTTTTTTAAAAAAATGTCTTAAAATAGTGATGTACAGTGTATGGTATCTAGTTTACCCTCAGAATATGGGGCTTCCCTGCACTTTGCCTCCTTTATTCAGTCACAGTAATACCTCTGACATCAATATCATGGACTGACTACATAATAACCATGCATAGGCACCTATCTGTTAGGTGAGTCTTGGTTCCACTGTTTAGCGTATAAGAGGAGTTGCAGGATAAAGTTGGGAAGAGGTAAAGAAAGCATCATTGAACAGCTTTCAGTGGATTGAGTCTGCCTTTCCCATCTACATGCTTCCATCTCTATTCCACATGCTTTATTTCTTCCTCCCCATCTTTTACTATAATATCAGAGGAGAGTTCCTAATCTACACTGCAGAATCTGAGATTCAGCGTGAAGAAACTGTTGTAGAGTTAGTTGGATAGATTCCTGGAGAGATTGAGTCTCCATCATGGGGAAACCATTAATAAGACACTACCCTTCACCAGTCTTCTCCACACAAGCAAATAATTCTGAATATATCCAAACTACAAGGAATACTCTGGAGTTGAGACCCTACATGGAAAAGCACCCTGTCAATCTCAGGTAGAGGGAAGGACCAAGGAGTTCTTCAGAGTAACTGTATCAGCAGATGCCTCAGTACTCATGGAACTGCATTAAATCAATGGTGCTTAAACTTCCACTGTTTAGGACAGGCAAGGGTAAAGATTCTGCTACCCAGAATAAAGGGCTCATACAGAAGAAGCCAGTGAAGTGTCACCTCTGAGACATGTTAGAGGAGTAAGAGTGAAGACATTAGAGTTCCATCTTTGGGGCACTGGGTAAGCAACTACCCAGAACCAGCCTCATCTAAACAAAAGGATCAGACAGAACAACAATTCTTCTAATAAACATCAAACAGAACACCAATCATTCTAATAAACAGGACTACTCTCTAGAGTTTACTGATCCCAGGTGGAGAGGAACCCTATGTTCTCAGGTAGATTAAATGGCCAGAACACTTGAATCAATTACAACCATAAAGACCTTCCAGTTATTCCAGAACTCTGCATAGTGCCATTAAATTACTTGGATTAAAACGTTGATAAATGAAGTCAGAAATTTTCCAAGTGTGAAACCCTTCATCAAAAATCTTCTTGTCTACTTTTCACCAACCTATGCAGCTCTTGTCTGCTAGACCTGGGATCTGAAGACCTGAAAGAATGGGGTGGGCTGCAGTCTGATGCTGTAGACAAACTCACTTCAGTTCCAGTGTCCTTTTATACACAAATGTAACAAAGAAAGCAATGACCCAAAGAAGGCTCTTTGAGTTCAGAAAAGCATGATCAGAAAAAAATGTAAATAAACTCCAGTGGGCACATATTGTCCATACTGGGTTTCATGGTCTAAGTTGATGAGGACAACTGATCAGGTTTCTTCCTCAAGAGGGCACCAGATCTCATTACAGATGGTTGTGAGCCACCAACCATGTGGTTGCTGGAAATTGAACTCAGGACCTCTGGAAAAGCAGGCAGTGCTCTTAACCACTGAGCCATCTCTCCAGCCAGTACTAAATATTAACTGAGCAGACCTGTTCCAGAACTTTCTTGGGACAGACCAATTTAAACACAATTTCCAGGCACAAACTATAGATTATATCTGGGAAGGCATGAAAGCAAGGTAGAAGGCTATATCAAAATTCAAGGTTCACTAACCAGATTGGGTTCTATAGCTATATTCTGATATTCAACAAGAATAAACATATTTTATAAATTAATTGTGGTTGTTTATCACAGAAGGCCCAAAATCACATCCAAGATCAATCCAGGGAACCAAACTGCGTTTGAGGTAAAAGGCCCTCTGCCGTTTTTCCTGGAGTCTCCCTCACAGCTCCCCAAGGCATTGTTCACTTTCATCATACTTTTGGCCAAATTCTGACACTTCTGATGGTGCTTATTAAACTTGAAGATATTTGAGTCTATTCCAAGTCTTCTGAATAGAAACCATAGAATTGGGGTGGGTAGTTTCCACCTGATTCTGACAGTCATTGAGCTTTGAAAAGTACTGATGCCTGCTTGCAACAAGATATTCCGTATCTTGATTCATTTGGGGCATTATTTCATTCTTCTCGGTTGTAAAATTTCTATCCTTTCTTGACTGCCAGTAGTACCTTCAATTTACTAATAGTCATCCAGTGATGTATATACAAAGCACTGGCCAAGCACTGTGAAAACAGCATGAAGAACAAGACAGAAAGGGATCCTGGATCTGTCACCATAGTGGAATAGCAAAACCTTGTGAGATAACAATTAACCAGGCAAGTTATGTGAGGATTTGTGTTTGATGAAAATAAATAGAAAGACTGCACATTAATTCCCACCCACCCAGATCCAAATAATCACACAGAAACAATATTAATTACAACACTGCTCGGCCAGTGATTCCAATATATTTCTAGCTACCTCTTACATCTTAAATTAGCCCATTTCTATTAATCTTTGTATTGCCACGAGGCTGTGGCTGACCAATATGTTCCGGGTGTCCTTCTTAGGCAGCTCCATGGCATCTCTCTGACTTTGCCTACTCTCTATCTCTGTTCTTTTTTCCCACCTGACTTTACTCTGCTAAGTCATCGGCCCAAATAACTTTACTCATCAATCAATACAAGCAACACAAATCACACATCAAACAGAGGATTACACACACAGAGTTGTCAGTGAAGGCCTTTCTGGAAGTGTCTTTGAAACCGAGTCCTGAATGATAAGAAGCCAGCAGGGACAAGCCATTTCTTGATGTGCTTGCACTGTGTGGGCTCCTGCTGATCCAGGAGCAGAGGACAAGTCCAGCCGCTGGAGCCTGGCAGATAACACACAGGCTGATGGGGGATGAGGTGGAAAGAGCAGATCTAGCACAGAGTCTGAGCCACTATAACACTATGACTGTCTTTTGAGTGTGGAGGATCCCAGTAGGGAAGTGACATGACCTGTAGGTGATGATGGCTGCTCTCTGTGCAGAGAATGGACTGCAGGGTGAGCTAGTGTGGGGGTACAGACATCAGGAATCTATTGCAGAAGGCCAGGGGAGGGGCTAGGCTGTATGGAAGCCATGATGCAGCAGCGTGCAAAGGGAAGGGTTCCCTGGACAGGGCAGATGGGACCTTCAGTGATTGTTTCTGGGTGTGGAGGATGAGGCAGTTCAGGTCCCCCTGGGCTTATTCAGCCACACAGAGACACGGTGCTGCTGCTTCCTGTCAGATGCCCCAAGTGCCTTAGACTTTCAGCTGACAGTGGTGGTAGGGTTAACCAGTGACTTGGGGTAAAAAAAAAAGAACAGGCAACGTGGGCGGTGCGCGCTCCAGGGACGCGTGCGCGCGCCCAGCATTCCGCGCGAGCCAGAGGAAGGCAGAGGAAACGCGAACAGACTGTAAGCCCTGCCCTGAGAGCGAGCCACTGTGAGCGAGCCGAGCTAGAGAGAGAGAGCGCGCGCGAGCGAGCGCCAGTGGAGCCCGCGTGGAGGGAGCCGCCGATTCATCCCGCAACATGAACACCCTGCTGTCGCGGGCGAACTCGCTGTTCGCCTTCACGCTGAGCGTCATGGCGGCGCTCACCTTGGGCTGCATCCTCACCACCGCCTTCAAAGACAGAAGCGCGCCAGTGCGCCTGCAAGTCTCCAGGATCCTGCTCAAAAAAGTGGAGGACTTTACCGGACCCAGAAAAAGAAGCGACCTGGGCTTCATCACCTTCCACATCTCTGCGGATTTGGAGAAGACTTTCGACTGGAACGTCAAGCAGCTCTTCCTTTACCTCTCGGCAGAATATTCCACGAAAAGCAACGCTGTGAACCAGGTGGTCCTGTGGGACAAGATCCTTCTGCGAGGAGAGAACCCCAAGCTGGATCTGAAAGATGTCAAAAGCAAGTATTTTTTCTTTGACGACGGGCACGGACTCAAGGGAAACAGGAATGTCACTTTGACTCTGTCCTGGCAAGTTATACCGATTGCTGGCATTCTGCCTCTTGTGACTGGCTCTGGACGCGTGTCTGTCCCATTTCCAGATTCGTATGAAATAGCCACGACGTTTTGAAGGACTCTCTCTGCGTATGTGTTAAGGAATAGTAGTTAAAAACTGTCAAGAATCTGAAGAAACTTATGCTATAATAACCAGTTACTTTATGTGTGGTATTCGTGCATGTTCACATTGAATGTGATTTAGAGGCAGACTTTTGCTCGTCTCTTATTAAAGCATGCTTGATTCCTGAAAAACAGCTCATGTGATTATTTGGTAGATGCTGAAAGTGGTGGAAATAAGGTGACCAACAACTTTTTCTGAAGGATGAATATATCTGTAAATGATTGTAACACCTTTAATGGCTGTATGTCTTAGAAAAATGGGTCTTTCCACGTTTTCCCTACAAAAGTTTTTATGTTTTGCATCGTTTTTAAAATAATTTTTTTACATTGTCATTGAGAATTGAAATGTTTGCATGACTTTCCCACTCAGTGAATCTTGTTTCCGTGTGTATACTAGGTGCTAATTATATACTATTATCAGAAAGTCTCCACTTCGATAATGTTTGGAGTAATAATACTCCTAGTATTATTTCCATTTGCAAACTCTCTTATATGCTATTCTGTTCTATTGCCACTATTCTCGTGACACATATAATACAAACATAGGCTCTTTGAAGATGAAGACTATGAAAGACTGAAGCTTCGGGAATCCACGCTTAAATAGCTAGCAAAGGATGGAGTCAGACTTTGATCTTGGATATTCTGATTCCCTATGTTTATTCCATCTCTTATTCCTGAGATGACATCATAGTACAATTTCATTTATAATGGACACTGTGTTTTAATAACCCTGAAACATTTTGTCTTGATGTTTCTGACATTACATAAAAGTAGCTTGAGCACAAATTGTAAAAAAAAAAAATGCTACGGAAATACTTCCTTTCACTCTCTGTGTATTTGTTTTCTTTATAATAGAAGTATAAAAACCCAACTATATCAAAATAAGTTGGATATTATACATATAAAAACACACAATTAAATATGTGATATGATTTTTTTCTGCTGTGGGGAAATCAATAATCTCCAAGATAGCATTTACAGAATAACTTTAAGGGAAAGGAGGAAGGGACCTGGTCAGTCATCATCAATTTAGACCATGAAACCCAATATGGACAATGGAACAATTCTTAAGGGAAAGGGAGATTTGAGAAGGGTTATACAGCACAGGTGATATGGAAGTAGAGGCAGAATACCCTAATTTAAGCAAGGAGAAGCACTGTATTTTCACTGTCCATGGTGGCACAATATTACTACTTCCAGAATAGTGCATACCAATGTACCCACTAAGGAAACCGGTGTGGAAGTGTCTCAAAACATGAAAATTTAACTGCTCTCTGACCCAGGTATACAATTTCTGGGAATATACCCAAAGGACTTTATATCCTGCCACAGGAACACTTGCACATCCACATTTATTACTGCTCATTTCACAACAGCAGGAAATGGAATCAGTCTAGATGCCCATCAAGAGATATGAAAATACGGTACATATATGCAGTCTAACTTATTCAGCCATGAAAAGGTGAGATTTTCCTGGAAATAGGCGTATATGCCCAAAAGAGACCTTAGCTTCTAGGTTTTACCTGTGTATTTTAGGGGAGAAAGAGTGTATGTGGTTGCCAAGTGACCAGAAAGGAACCTATGAAAGAAATCAATAGAGGCTTCACTTTAAAGAAGGGGGTGGACACAGAAACAGAAGATATGTGATGTGAAATGGAAGAGGAATGCTGAAGATGGAAGGGTTTTGACAGGTCACAGGGCAGGGAAATTGGGGAGATGAAAGGATGGGGGATAGGCAACCAAAACTAAGTGTGTATAACAATGGCATAGGGAAATGTTATTACAGTTACCTCATATGAATACATCACTATTTAATTGTAAAACCCCGACCAGTCCTGTAAAATCCCGATGGTCCTGTAGCTCCTGTGTCACAATCATATGCGAGCCATGAACTAAGCCTGGAGACTTAAAAATCACACACATAGACAGACAGACAGACAGACAGACACAAACAAGGATCATTCTTGATACAAGAATGCCAAATGCCCCCCTTTATTGTGCTCAGGGGCAGTTTATATAGGGATACTTAGCCACACCCAGCTCTCGGGATCTTTCAGCTTCAGGCAGAAAAGTCATGGGGCTAGGGATCTTTAGTTCCCAACATTTACTTACATGTGTTTCAACGAATGTGGATGTAGCTGTACAGTTCATGAAGAAGTATGAGGAATTGAATTTTTCTAACTAGTATAAAAATCAAAGGTGTAGCATCATTCATATTAAACTGGCTTTGGCTTCTGGTTTGTTCATTAAACATTTCAGGGTCTTCATTTGTTTATTGATAAAAAGACAAAATTGGAGAAATTCACATAAATGGTGGTTCTTTCATGTGACATATTTGTGCCTTTTGTTTAGCTTATTCACAGAAGGTTGAACAGAAAAGCACTTTAGTAGTGTGCAAATAGGAAGACAAGAAGAACACATAATTCATACAAATTTGAGTTTATTAATAGTCTGTATACCAACAAGAACATTTAACTCCAATACCTCTATACTGGTACTAGACATAGAAATGTTAAAATCTGCAGTTACCTATTCTTATATGTTGGGTGTTTCCCTTGAGGAAAGCATGCCCAGGAAGCCTGCATCTTATCCAGACCCTGATATCAGTTTCATGTGTACCACTGCTATGTTTTTAGTATGGTAGAGATGAATGCTGAAAGTTACTGTAATTATACTTTTGACAGATCCATGTCTTTGGAGTTTGGTGGGGAAGAGAAGTAGAAAGGTCCAACTATTACAATCTAGACAAAGACAACAGGAAGATCCCTGAAGCTTGCTGGTCAGTTTCTCTGGCCCAGACTATAAGCTACAGGATCACTGAGCCATGCTTGGTGGAAAACAATAAAGGAAGACACAGAGCATCAACCTATGGCCTCCACCTGCTTATCCAGCCCCACACTTGTGAACACATGTGCATGAGTAAAGAACACACAAGATTAAAATTAATTGTTTCAAGTTTTGACACATATTTTGACATTGCTTTCTTCCCATCTATGTATTTATATAAACACACTGAATATATATTTGAGAAATTTCATAATTACAGTAAGTTTCTGTTTTTTTAATGTAAACAAAAATAATTGGTTGATAAAAGGGTTGATTTGTATGAGGCCTTGTGGGCTTTCCTCAATCCAGTTTGGCATGTCTGTTGGTGTCATCCTTGTTCATTCATATTTGGAAAGTCATATTGCCGAGACTTTATGGCTATAGCTTCTGATGTTACTAGGAGACACAATCTCACAGTAAACTTTTCAATTCTCTGGCTCTTACAATCTTTCCAAACACTCTTCAGTAAAGTTTCCTGAGTGTTAGATGTGGGACTGTTCTGTAGATATAGTCATTGGAGAAGGAAGGAAGTGGGGAAATTAACAATAAGGATGTGTGAGAATTCCAGAAGGACTCATACTATTGACCATTTACCTAAAAAAACTATAATATATATAATTCATGGTATTTATATACATTTTTTTTCTTATCTGGGCTGATAATGCTTCCTCCAAGAGCTGAAGACCACCTAACAAAAACCCCAATACGAGACATGAGAAGCCCACTTTTGAGTTGCTGTCCAGGGCTGTCCAGGAGACTTCCAGAATATACAGCCTGTTGCTCTTGCCCCTGATTATCCCCCAGAGGTGGAAGGTAAATTACAAACTCAGGTAAGTACTTTTCACCACTGAGCCATCTCTTCTAGCTTCCTCTTAAGGGAATCTTAAATGCCCTGAAAAGTAAGTCTAGCATGTTTATAAGGTAATTATCACATAGGAAAAAGTTTTTCTAAACATGGCCCCATCTATATCTATACTTCTCTGAATGCACCTGGTCATTTCTAAAAACAGCCACAACATCAGCTGAACTGGTTCTGATATGAAAGTCTCTTGAACTACATTACAAAACCCACTGTGGACATTTTCTTCTTATGCTGAGGGATTTGTTGACTAAATAAAGTGAAATTTATGGCCAACAATGCCTCTGATCGCCGCAATGATTTTACAAGATATGTTGATTCTTTTAACATTTGTTTATTTATGTACCCTTGTCCTTGGTTTGTAACTATTTTAATTGAAAAGTCATAATCTTGTAAGCTCATTATTTGCTTTAGGATTCTTTCAAAATATTAAGGCCACAAATTTTAGAAAATAGATCGATAGATAACAGGGTATATATACACATCTTTTAAAAAGACAAATCACATTATTTGCTTGGTTTTTGTTTTCTGAGTTTTTTTTAGACAGAATCTTTCTATGTATTCCTGGCTGTCCTGGTACTGTCCTTTGTAGACCAGGCTTGCCTTGAACTCACAGAAATATGCCTGTATCTAACTCTCAAATGCTGGGATCAAAGGTATGCACCACCATGGCCAGAAAAGACAAATTACTTTGACTTTTACTATTTATTTTATTTTATGTATATGTGTGTGTGTCCTTGTCTTAGTTAGAGTTTCTATTCCATGATAAAACAACAGCATGATCAAAAGCAACCTGGGAAGAAAATAGTTTGTTACAACTTACAGTTCGACATCACATTCCATCACTGAGGAAAGTCAAGGCAGGAAACTCAGACAGGAGCTGATGCAAAGATCATGGCTGGGTGCTGCTTATTGACTTGCTCACTGGTATATCTGGTTAGAGAATTTTCTCAGTTGAGGTTTGTAACATGTGGGTTTGCTTGTTGGGGTTTCTGTCCTGCCCGGTTCCCACAGTCATTATGTCCAAAGAAAATCACACAGAGAGTCTATATTAATGATAAACTGATTAGCCCATTAGCTCAGGCTAGTTATTAGCTCTTATAGCTTATATTAACCCATTATTCTTATCTATGTTAGCCACATGGCTCAGTACCTTTTTCTGTGGAGCAGGTCACATCCTGCTTCTCTAGTGATCTGGGCAAGACTTGGGAGGGAGCTTCCTTTTTCCCAGGATTCTCCTGTTCTCATTGCCCCACCTCTACTTCCTGTCTGGTTTTGCCACCTATACATCCTGCCGGGCTATCAGCCAATCAGCGTTTATTTAAAATATAATTGACAGAATATAGAAGATTGTCCTGCACCAGAGGTTCCCTCTTTCTAAATGACTCTAGCTTGTGTCAGGTCGACAGAAAACTATCCAGCACAGTGCCTAAGTGTACTGTGCACT